TCTGTGTGGCGGGGCGGGAAGGATCGGAAACGGCAGGGGCGGGGTTCTGCGTGGAGGGGCGGGGTTCTGCGTGGAGGGGCGGTCCCGGGGCCCGTGGTGCGACCCCGGGCCGGGTCTGGGCGGCCGGCGGGCCGTGGCAGGAAGCCGGAAGCAGCCGCGGCCCCAGCTCGGGAGACATGGCGGGCGTTAAAGGTAGCTGGTCCTGCGGTGGGGTGTCGCCGCCGTCCCGGGCTAAGCCTGGAGCTGCGCTCTCAGCGTGTGGGCGGGGAACGGCCTCCCCCAAGCCTGCCGCTCTCCCCTTCTCTCCGGGGGCGGAGGAGGCGCTCACCCTCTTCCTTCGCCCCGCGGGATGCGGGTGGAACCTCACTGGTCTGCACGCTCCTGCCGGTCTCTCCGGGACCTTCCAGGCGAGCCAGGAGCGGTGCCCTTCTTGGAGACCCGGGTAGACCAGGAGCATCACCTCTAGGCACCTCAGTACTTCGGAGCGTACCCCCGCCCCCATCTCTGCTCAGTTTTAAACGGACTGGGTTTCCATTTCCCGACTTGTCCACCCTGACGCCTCTCCTCCCTCTTCCTGCCGCTCCGCAGTTTCCAGTTTCTTCTAGAGCAGCCATTGTCTCCAGTCTTCTCGGCCCCGGGGTTCTTAATTCTTTCGGTACTGATGAGTTTTCCTAGTTGGGCAGAGTTGACTGCAGGCAACAGAAAGCCCACGGAAATGCTGTATTTCTCATAATTGTGGAGAATAGATTGGGTGGAATGTTATCGCTGCTTTCTTTAGTGTTTATTCATCTATGGACAGACAAGAAAGCAGTGTTTGTACAACTACAGGGGCAGTTGAAAAAGGAGGTACCAAGAACGCCGCTTCCCTTATCTGTATGACTTTAGAGAAGTGGGGGGTGGCAGCGGTAGGAGAGGCTATTGGAAGGCTTCCTGTTATTTTGGTAGGAAACCATTCGATTTCTGATGTTTGAATAGAGTAGTGTAACTTGTTTCTATGTTGGAGTTAACTTCCATCTTTGGAATTGGTAACCAAAGATCTTCCTAGTTAATCAACATCTGTTATAAACATGTATACGATATATTTGCATGCATGTGTGTGCACTCTGAAATTTATCTGAGTATGTGAGCTATTAGCAGACACATTGTATCATTATTTCTGGCTGACTTTTATATTCACCATCAGTTTAGTAAATGTGATTTATTTGGACAGTGTCCAGTGTGTAACGTGTCCATTTGAAGACAATGCAGAAAAGGGGTGACCGATACTATCCCAGTACTGGACTGCGCTGTGCTTAGTCATGCCCAGAAACTATCAAGTAATGATACTGTTTATGTGTGAATGTGTTAGAAATTGTGATGTAGTGAAAAGGAAGACCATGAAATGGAAAAGGACTAAGGGAAGGAAGCTACAGATAGTTCACTAAGGGGTGAACTATCTTACAGATTGAGGGACCATTGTATGCCTGTGACTTGGGATAAAAAGATAAAAGTTATTTTTGGGTGACAAAACTGGAAATGATTATATTACTGATGAAGTGTCCAAGGTGTCCTTAGATAACAGGAGGAGCACAAAGATGGTGTTATGGATTAAATTGTATCCCTCAAAAGGTATGTTCAAGGTTCTAACTCTCCAGTATCTGTGAATGTGACCTTATTTGGGAATAGAGTCTTGGCAGATGTTATCATTAACTTGATGATGATACTGGATTAGAGTGTGCCCTAATCCAATGACTAGGGTCTTTATAAAAAGGGGGGGGGTCAGAATTTACACATGGAATCACAGGGAGAACACTGTGTGGAGACAGAGGCAAAAATTGGACTGATGCAGCTAGAAGCCAGGAAACGTCAAAGATTGCCAGCAACCACCACGAGTTAGGAAAAAGCAAGGAAAGATTCTTCCTTAGAGCCTTCAGAGGAAGCATGGTCCTGCCAATACCTTGATTAGAGACGTCAAGCCCCCAGAAGTGTGAGAAAATAAACTTCTGTGGTTCTAATGGTCCAGTTTGTAGTACGTTGTTAATGGCAGCCCCAGGAAACTAACACAGATGGGATAACTTAACCCTGCTCTGGGGAGAAAAAGGCAGTTCTTGAATTGAATCTAAATCTAAATCTAAATCTAAATCTAAATCTAAATCTAAATCTAAATCTAAATCTAAATCTAAAAAAATCAGTAAGGTGTCACCTGGCTAAGGAGGGAGCAAGGACAGTTTTTCCAAGTGGGGAGAATTGTGCCGGATCAACTCGTAGGCTGTGAAAGTGGCTGTGAAGGGGTGACACCAGCGTTGTGTATTTGAGAGATCGCTGTCTGCTGTGTGGAAGATGGATTGGAAGAATCAAGGTTGGAGGCAGGCATGAGATGGTGAGGGCATGCACCAGGGCAGTAGTAGAGGGTTCAAGAGAAGAGGGTGGGTATCTTAGTCCTTTAGGGCCGCTCTAACAAAAATACCGGAAACTGGATGGCTTACAGAGCAAACATTTGTTTCTCAATTCTGGAGACTGAGAAGTCCAAGATCAAGGTGCCAACAGATGCAGGGTCTGGTGAATGTCTGCTTCCTGGTTCATAGACATCTCACTGTGTCCTCACATGGCAGACAGGGCAAGGGAGCTCTGGAGTATCATTTATGAAGGCACTAATCCCATCCATGAGGGTCCCACCTTCATGACCTAATCACCTCCCAAAAGCTTTAAGTACCATCACATTGGCAGGAGGATTTAACATGAATTTGGGGAGGGGACACGCTCATTCAGTGTATAGAGGTGGTTTTGAGTGACACCTGGGAGGTTGAGTCACCTTAACTTGGTGATCTTCTGTAAGACAGAAGGTGATGATAGTGTTGGTTGGTCTTTCAGGATAGAACTTAAAGGGAAGAATGTGTTTGGAAGGAGAGGGTGGGATGTTTGGGTTTTATACATGTCAACTTTGAGGTCCTTGTTGGCTACCTGGGCAGAGAAGTCCAGATTGGAGTTGGAGGTGCAGGCCTAGGTCCCAGGACCTGTTCTGGGCTGCAGCATCAGATGTGGCTGGGCCCTCGTGATACTAGGGAACTTTGGGTCAAACGCAATGTCTCAGCAGAAGGACAGTCTAAAGAAATGAAGTTGGATTCTTTGTTAGCTCCAACTTTAAAATATGGCAGAGGATGTTGATTCCCCCCAAAAAGAAAAAAGAATCAATCAACTGGAGATACATTTGTGAACGTTGAGAGATGGGTGTCACAGACCGGAAAGAAGAGGTCTCTGGTTCCTAGCTTTGAAGAAGGGAGTGATACAAAAGGTCAGGCACAGGGAAGGGATAGTGCCAACCAAGAAAAGACCATCTGTAATGAAACAATATGCGAAAAGTTCCTTTTGTACATTTTTCTTTAAAAAGTGACATGTACGACATGGAAGAGTACAAAAATTAAAATTGGCAGTCTTGTGCCCTAACGTCTGTATACTTCCAGATGTTTTTAAAAAGCACCTTCGCATCTTCCTATAAAACAGTCTCCCTAAATCTCTTAAAGTAAAAGGAAGCAATCAAAATGTTAATTAATTTAGTGAATGACTAATTGTGAGTATTAGGGATTTTTTTCAGAAGAAAATTTGGCTAAATTGTGTCTGATGCTTTGAATTTATACCTTTAGCAAAGAATATTGCTAAAATGAGCAAGTCAGCATTTATTTATGGAACACCTTCTTTTGCCAAACACTTCACATGGATTATCTCCTTTACTTCTCATAAGCTGCATAAGGTGGCACCATTATTCCCATTTTATAGGTGAGAAATTTGATTGAAAGAGGTTCAGTTTCTCTCCAAGGTCACACAGCCAGTTGGTGGCAGTGTTGAGATTTGAACCCTGTTGGTGACTCAGAGCTCAGGATTTTTTTTTTTAACAGCCTTGATACTCTGTCTCCCACTCAGCAGCATGACAAGGACAAATAACGTTCCTACCCCCTCAGTGATTAATGTTGAACAGATGCAGGGAATAAATATTTTATTTGGTGGATACTACTTGGGAGTCATTTTCTATGAAAACATGAAAGTAGTCTTCAAATACTTGAAGTACTGGGGTTGGGAGAGACAGAATGATCAAAGGGCATATATATATTACAGTGAGGCAGTTTTGGATATAATTTGAAGAAAGGATTTTCAGCATTTAGATACTATCAGAAGGAAATGATATGCCTCAGGCAGTAGTGAGTTCTCTTCACTGGAGTTGTGCAGACAAGCTGGTTGGCCTCTTGTGACAAATAGAGGGAATTTATATATTAGATAGGGGTTGGAAAATGCTTGAGACCTTTCTCACCTAGTGATTTTAAAGTGGTGGACACAGGCAGTCATTTGCTAGTCAAATGTGATGTCAACTAATGAAATAAATCACTACATTTGCGTAAATTGGGAACCTTTTACTTCTTTAAGTGAATGTTTTTGTTTAAGATATAACTCACATACCATAAAATTAACCTTTTAAAAGTGGAACATTCTATGGTTTTTAGTTTATTCACAAGTTTGTGCAACCGTCGCTACCATTTAATTCCAGAACATTTCACACACAAC